AGTGACCAGTGCTGTGCGACCCGCTGTGAAACTCGTGCCAATCTTCACCACTAGTCCCGTCATTCAGAGACCTCCGCCGCCGCCGCGGCCGACGGCCAACACGATATTCCCGGTCGTTATTAATAGCCGTAACGTTGTTTATGGACAGTCAGTGTCGCCGCACGTGTTGAACAGTGGCCACAAAGGCTTTAAGCGAATGAGCGAACCCGACGTTCAATCAGTGAATCTAAACGGATGTTCGCCTCAAAAGAAGTCAAAAGCGGATAATTTGGATAAAGTATTGCAAAGAATACAGAATCAAAAGGAGAGAATTGACACCACATTCAACGCCCAAAATATTAGCCCCCGATTTGTGCCCCAAAATGTACAAAATGTATGTATAGTTTTTTATTGTTTTAATTTGCTTTTGTCATTATAAGTGTACATTTTTAACATTTATTTAACACACATATCGCGGGTATTGTTTTACATGTTAATGAAATTTGATATACACTGTAAGTGTTAATATGTGCCGGAAATTCCTGACTAAAATGTTTCCCCAGATGTTTACCCAAAATTTAAAAGACTTACAAAATTTTCATTTAAATTAGTCAAATGACTACTTTTAACATACGCTAACAGATGTTAATATATGGGCAACTTTAATTTACTAACTTATTGTTGTCAATTTAATTAATCATGATAGTGTAAAATTACTTAAACACGTGTACTTACAGTACATATTCATAGGGAATAATTTATAATTTCCATTTACGCTATCGTAATATATATTTTACTATTGATTTTTATGACGTCGATAATTTTATTAAAAATATATATAAGTAATTTATTGTAATAAAATATATAGCTCTTGACGAAATATAAATAATTTATTTTTTTTATATTAAATATTGAATTTTACCACGACATATAATTTAGCTATTGTCCTAAATTACTAATATCATGTTGGCTATTATTCAAAAAATCCATAAAGTCATTAGTTATATGTATAAATCATTTGGGAATTTGCATGTGTTTTTGACAATCACAATAAAATTTAATAGATTAGGTATACGGACGTGACTGATATGTATAATATATTACACAGCTACATAATTTTTATAATAGCTATGTAAAGCTTTACATAATTTTTCATTGAATATAAGCTAGATTTTTGTTTAAAATCCCATAATTATCATACAATCTAGAAAAACTTGTGATAAAAAGTCCAAAATTCATGCAAAATTAATGAGTAAACATATTTGTCATAAAAATATATATATTTAACACTTGTATTAACTAGTTTTATTATGTATAAAAAGCATAAAATCACGATTGATCATGATAATTGCCAAAGTTATCATGAGGCGCTCAGTCAGCACAAAGTGCATTACTGGTAGAGTCCAGCCCAACATCGTAGCTATGTATTCACTTTAGCCCTAGATTAATTATTGATTACATTGTTTTAAAGCACTTATAAAGTTAGCTCATGACATTTATTATGTGTACATATGCTTAAAAACGTATGAAACCAATAAGTAGCTAGGTAACTATCTGGACATTAATCCAGAATATATTGTTACTAACGTTAAGCTCTATTTAAATACATTGTTTTCTATACAATGTATAAAACAAAATTCTTGCCAATAATATGTATTTATTTTCTCTCTCTCCCCCTCTTATCGCACAAATACATAGATAAACGTGTTTAACAATAATCATACAAATCAGTCAACACAACAACAGCAACAACAACACCATCAGCAACAACAGCAACAGCACCGGCAGCACATGCATGACAATAGACAGCGAATGGGTGTCATAACTAACCATAACGTAGTCAATACAAGTCCGATAAATAACAAGACTGTCAGACAATTGCTGGAAGAAAAGCAATTAAAACACCACAAAGACATTAAACGACTTTCAATTGATTCAAACCATAGCCGAGACAGGGATAGGACGCCCACCACAACCGCCACCACTGCCACCATTGTTACGGCCGTACCGGCGCTTAGCCCACAGTATAGACACGTTAACAATAACGGAGTTAATGTGGATTTAAATCGTGGTAATAACGGGCATATCGTTAATAGGGATGCGGCCCTAAACCGACCGCAAAGGCTCACAAATTTTATGACCACTTCTGTTATGGCCAACGATAAGCCAAACGCCACTATCTATTGGCCGCCAAACGGCGGCGACATTCAAAAGCGTATTGTAAGTCAACCGCAAAATTATCGCCCAATTCAGCAAACGTTCCGCCATTTCGTTGATAACAGCCATAAAACGATGAATTATACAAATAATAATAATAACGCTAATAAACATGTCGTAAACAATGCAACCAATGCTAACTATAATAGTAATATTAGTAGTAGTAATGGCATTAATAATAATAATAATGGTATTAACATTAACAGGGGTAATTTGATTGTCGTAAAACCAGCATTAGTAATACCCGCCGACAGTATGGCACCAGTCATTCAAATCACAAATAGTATCAATACTATTAATAGTAGTAATAATCAAATGACAAATACTATTAGTAATAGTAATAATCAAATGACAAATACTAGTAATAGTAATAGACATTACGATTTTGGTAAAACAAATCCCAAAACTGTGCGCGAATTGTTGGATAAGCGCCGAAAACAACAGACAGTATCTCAACATAAATACATCGATATGTCGAGGAATCGCGGCGGCGTTGCCGTCCATTCGCAGCACATCTCAAACAAACCGTTAATTCATATCAATAATGGGAAATATGTTTCCGACGACGAGATCCGTAGGAAACAAATGCAGTCACACTTTAGGACAACTGATTTTGTTGCCAATAATAACATTAATATCAATACTAATAATATGAATACCAATAATAATAATAATAATATTGTAATTAAAAATATTAATAATAACCCCAATACGGGTCAATCGCTGTTGGCAAATAAATACCCTGTTCTTACACCCATTAAACCATTCAATCCATTGGATCCGATGAATAAAATTGAGCATGCTGGCAGCGCTACTTCTGATAAGCAGCTTGGTAAAGTGCCGATAAATATACCGGCAATGGATAATATTCCCGATTTAATAGACATACCTGGATATAACCGTACAGATAATTCAATCAAACCTCCAAACATGATGGTAAATAACACAAACGGTGTGCATAGTATTCGCTATCAGAATAATAATAATAATAATAGCCCTCACCTTGGTCATAATTTTGCATTTAATAATAGCAGTAATAATAATAATATAATGAGACGGGAATTGAATGGAAACGATTTGGTGAAGAGATTGATCCACAACTCAACCG